GGAGACTAAGAGGCTATGTCTTGCATGAGGGGGTGTATTTTGCATATCGCGAGAAAGGTTGCCTGTCCCTGCGGTTATTTGTTCTCTATCTCTTTTGGGACCTGCTCCAGTCCCTATCATTACGATCTTGGCCCTTTCGCTTGTCTGATGGGAGATTTTGTCGCCTGTTTAGGGCTCTTCGCGACAAGCTTCTAGCTAAGGCTGCTAGCGAGTTTTCTACTCGCTGGTGTTTTACAGCCATCTAGTAAAACTTTGTCAAACTCACATGATGTTCACTTTGGAGCTCTTTCCATAGCTCCATTTACGGCCTGATGCTAGCAATTACCAAAGTCTGGATTGACTCTTTAGGTGCATTTGCAACCTTTGCTTGCTCGTTTTGGAACCTCATTAAATACGAGGTCAGTGTTTCATCTCCCTCCTGACGAATGTTACTCAAATAGCTAAGCGACATTACGAATTGTCTTCTTACTTGAAATTGTTGTAGGTACAGTGAGGAGAATTACTGTTAAGAACTGATGGTATTCGCCTTGAGTCTTTTGTACCACCTCTTAGAGTCCCCTACCAATGTGATCGCAAAGCAGAAACACTTCGCTAAGTCACAAACCTGATGCAGCTTCATCAAATCATTGAAAGTGTTGAGGTGGTCTTTGGGATCTCATTTCCCATCGAACTTACTTTCTGGCACCCTGAATCCTTGGGGAAGCGGGGCCTGCCAAACTTCCTTTGTGAAGGAAGAGCTCATTATCTCTTCTGTCGCATGGTTCTAGCAAGCTCTCAGATGGTTGAGCATTTTTTGTACCTGATCCAAGTCTTCGTTGTGGTTGCCCTGGCTGGCTCTGTTAGCCTTACCTTGAGCAGGTGAGTTTGCAAATATGTTACTTCTGAGCCCCCTCCATTATGCGCATTGATGCGCGAGGTTGAGTCATAATGGCTAGGTTGGTAAGTGCTATCATGCTCGTTAGTGCATTGCTCACTACGTCGATTATAACCGAAACGTCGGTCATTGCTAGATTGGCAAATATGACTCCCCTCGCGAGCTTGCGAGGTTTGAGCCTGCCTTAGGCGTGGGTTAAAACCGGCATGCTGATGTTGGGGATTTCATCGAGCACGTTGAGCGTCTCATGGGTGACCATTTCCTTCACCTTCCCCCATTGGTTGTTTTCCTGGTTGCCTCCCAAGGTTAGTTTGCCTGCAGGGCTCATGCTCATAAGCGGAGTGTACTTTATGATGTCGTAGGTGTCAGTCGCCCCTCAATGCCGATGAACCAGACTGATCACCGGCTGAATTCTAACCTGTTGGGGTAATATCGGTGCAGCGTGGCTGGTCTAGGTTCTGTGTTGTTGGTTGCTAATTTATCAGCTCAACCATGTTCTGTTGCACTACCTATGCAACCATTGTTCTGATCATTTCCACCAGTTGGCCATGCTCGGGATTTGAAGTCCCTACTCTCGGGTCATTCGCGATCTCTTGAATTGGCAGCACTAGTGGTCAACACCCAACGACGTCTTGTTGCACCTCCTGATGGGTGGTTTCCACGTGTCATGGTTTCTGGAGGTAGTTTTTGATCTTGTACGCACCATTGCGGGCCTAGAGTGATTAGGTCACTGGGATTGCTTGCCAGAAATTCTGAGATTTTGGCAGGGGCCTTCCTTCTAGCACCAAAATGTTTATGTAAGATTTACACCAGCTAGAGTGATCTGATCGACCTTGACAGGATCAAAACTGATGTGTACGTGATTACGGGTAACCAGCAGTGAGTAAATAAGAAATGCAATAAAGTAAATGGCAAAGAGATTTTTAAAGTGGTTCAGCGAGATGAACTCTTGAGCCTACATCCACTATTATTGTATTTGTTATGAGAGCTTACAATGACAATCCTAGAAATATTTGCTAACCCCTTTCTCATTGTTGGAGAGGGTTTATATACAGAGTTTGTACAAAGGAAAGAGCAAAAATAAAAGGATTACAATTAAATTTGAAATGCAGCTCCGATATTCTCGTGATTGGGTGTTGTGATTGCGCAAAGATTATTGTCGATCTGATCCTTCTTGAGATATTCGGGATCTGAAGTTATCTGTGAATTGGTTGAACAACTGCAAGGATTGGTCACGACTAGCTTGTGCTAGGTCAAGCTATAACTCGACAAGCTTATGCTGAGTTGAACAATCGGTAGAGTCGAGCTGGTCCTAGATCGGGCTATAACCTTGCAATACTCCAAGCTTGGTGGAAAAATCACACACAACATTACCCATTTCATTGGTAACATCTTTCAGATCGAGTCGTGCCGCATTTAAATCGTCTATGTTTGTCTTGACTTTCTGCAAAAGTTGTTTCAAGTCTTTCGGTTCGTCATTTTTGTTCACTGGTGAACCAATTGACAAAAAAAGAAATTCATGGCATTATATCAATTTAGAAAATGCTACAAATAAAAAATTATTTGTAGTTTAATTCAGAGAAACATCATCAATGCAAACACATTCGTTTCTTACCTTTTTGTTTCTTTGTTGAAAAACTTGAAATATCTTCATCTACTTTTTTCTTGCCTTTATCTGCCATTTTAAAAACATGAAGAAAGCTTGAGTAGATAATTAAACTACAAAAACTTATATAACAATACAGATGCAGTTTTAGTAATCCTTCTATATATATATAAGCATGAAAGTATCATTTTAATGTGTGTGGAATCTGAATAGTTAGAAAACAAACAGACGCATCATAATAACTATATTGGTCAATTGAAGAATGTGCAAAAACTGTTTGGAAATTGTAAAAGACAATGGTCATTGATATTATATCAAAATTAACACCAAGTAAATGTTAACAATTTATATTTACATTGTAATCAGTATTTTTATTTATTATAAAAATAATGTTTGTTTCAAATGACCAAGTTTTTAATTCAAATATGAATCTAATGTTATTGTAATGAAAGATGAAAAGAAAATCAGACAACATTTTAATAAGATATTATATTTTTTCACTAATTATTATATTTAATTAGTGATAATCATGTTTATTTTATTTTATATTTTTGTGGCAATTGGATTTCAAGAATTTATAATTGTTCATACGATAAATTATTCAGTCAAAATATATTTTTTTTAAAGAAGAATAATATGCAATTATTATTATACTGTGTGTATTCATTAAGTTTAAAATAAAATATACAATTATTGTTATTTTGTCTTAAAGAAATTATTATTTAATGATAAAAAAAATGGCATTATTATTTTGGTGTGTGACATCATTTAAATTGATAAAATTTATATGTTGTTTAAATGTTGTCATTCAATATGTTTATCGCTTTTAAGGACATTTTATTGATTAAGAGTATTTTTTCAGCCTGATTCAAACTCTCCAACCCTAACGTATGTATTTTTGTTTCTTCTGCATCAGATTTTTTGCTGTGATTTGAACAAATTGATAACATTGAATGGTTTTGTCAAAAATCCTTTCAGTTTGCACGACTTTACAACGGTAAAATTTATTTCTTTATTTATTTGGATATGCAGTTACACACAATCTGTTTAACAAAATATCGAAGTCAAAATGAGTTAGGAATTTCCAGATGAATGGTTTGTAATCGCTTTGAACTCATGATTGTCTGAAATTTTGTTTATAATTTGTCTTGTTGGTTTGTTGTAGTATTTGTTAATGCAATTTTTTATGATGGTACGAATAGGATTTTATACTATTATTTTTGTTTGCTAACGATTTTAGGCAATTTGGAAATATTGTTTCTTTAGGTTGAATTATGATTTAGTTGTTCATTTTTCTATAAGTCATGAAGTGTGCTTTTTAAATTTTAGATATGGCTTCTAAAAAATTGCTGAAGTTTATGGATAGAGCGAGGCCAAATCAGCATCTAATACAGGACCAAGCATTGCTACGACAATAAAGTTGATAAATCAAGTACAAACTTCTGTTCACCTGCATCAGTGCCTAATCCTATTGTATCCCCTTCTAGTTCATGTCATGTTGAAGCTATTGAAGAGAAAGATGATGCAACAGAAGAGGTTCCATTATGTAGGTTTATCAAGTGACAAAAAACATCTCAGCAAGAGAGTGAGAATATAAAGAATGAGAGGAAATTTAGAACATTATCAACAGAAGAATTAGATAATAGGATATCTTTTGTTGGTACTCAAGTATTATTTTTTTGGAATAATTTAATGGTTAGTTAAGTTTGTACTTTTTTTAAATGTGTCTCATTGAGATTTTATGTTGTTCCCTTTTGTTTCTGCAATAGGGTTTTGAACTTTGGCAAGAAGCCCGGGAGCGTTGGCTGGCAGCGGAGAATGTTATTTCCAAATAGCAAAAAAGAAATTGAAGTTCTAAATTCTGACAAACAAAAATTAGAAGAAGTGAGAAAGGTTTTGAAAGAGAGGGTAGATAAAGTTGAAGATGACTTGAAACATCTTCACGAAGCATTTAAATCTGTTGAACAATCTATTGAAAATCAACAAAAAGAAAAGGAAGTTGTAAAAAAAAATTGAACAAATTGTCTAATGAGAATACAAAAATCCGATCTTTGGTTGTCAAAGCTGAGAAAGAGAAGAATGAAGCTAAAGATTTAGTGGCAAACATGTTTAAGGCCACCAGAAAAGCTTGTGTAGATGCTTTCAAGTCAAAATTTCCAAATGAAGACTCCGAATTTTTGGAAAAACTTGTGTTGAAGAAAGAGTAGAATCCTTCTAATGAAGTTTGTATTAATGATAATGCTACTAAAAATGTATCTACACCATGCAATACTACTTGTACAAATAATGAAACAGTATATTGGTGTAGTGAAATATTTGACAAATATTTTGTATTTGAAACTTTGCATTGTTACATAATCAGTATCATATCTAACTTTCTATCATGTGGAACACTTCTTTGAAAACAATATTTCTCAACTTTTCTTCTGGTTCATCTTGTTGTTGGGCTAATAAGATCTTGATACCTTTTCTCAAAGGTACCCTTGATAGGGCAACATATAATTGTCCATGGGTAAATACTTAGTGTTTTATGTAGAATCCCACCATTTTGAGCAGTTGACCCTGACTTTTGTTTATAGTCATGCAAAAGCTAACTGCAATTGGTAATTGCCTTCTCTTCAATCTGAAAGGCCATTTCATATCTGCATTGGACATTGTTATTCTAGGAATCACAATATTATCACCAATATTTGATCTTCTAATAATTGTTGCTTGAATGCTCCACTTCCCTAGATGAGTCACAATCAATCTTGTCCTATTGCAAAGACCATCTGATTGACTCAGATTTCGTAGCAACATAATTAGAACTCCAATTTTGAATTGCAATTCATGTTTTGGCATACCAGAGCACATCAAAGAGTTAAGGAACTCTGTTGGATATAGAATGTCATCATCATTTGGAGTCCCTGCTGCTTTGCAAGTGTTGTCTAAACTGTAACAGGTCTTCGATTCTAATTGCAATTTTTGAATAATGTAGTCGTTCAATTCATGTGCTGTATCATTTCTTGCTATCAATATTGCCCTCTCTCTGATATAATCAACATTGCCTATCTCAGCAGATAGATTCAGGAAAACAGCATTCACAATTCTTTCTTCTAGATTTTTATGTTGAGAAAGCCTCAAATCTTCAGGAATTTCTATAAAGCTTTCATCTTCTAATACTCTTGTTCCTTCACCAATTTGCAGTAACCATCTGTCAAAAATAGTCAATTCATTCAATTATGCATTGCTTTGCAAATTCTTTTTCAATCTCATATTTTATGTTAGCTTCAACACTGTGACATGTTCCCAAAGGGGAGATGAAGATAAACATGCTTGTATCGCATCATATTTTTTCCCCTTTGGTATAACTGGTAAAATTTGTCTTAAGTCTCCACCCAGTACAACAGTTATGCCTCCAAATATTCTATTAGCATTTGATGGATCTTTATCAGACAAAATGTCTCTCAAAGATCTATCAAGTGCTTCAAAACAATACATATTTGCCATCTATGCTTCATCCCAAATTATCAAAGATGTTATCAAAATTAGTTTTGCCAATTGCATCCTTTTTTTAATATCACATCTACTCTTTTTAGTTACATCTAAAGGTATCCTAAAACGTGAATGGGTTGTTCTTCCTCTTGGTAATAGCAAGGTAACAATACATAACGAAGCAATAGCGAGAACAATTTCACCATCAGACCACAATTTTGCTATTATTGTTGACCATAGGAATGTTTTACCTGTTCCACCATGCCTGTAAACAAAAAATGGCATTCCTCTTTCATTATAAACTGAATCAATAATTGAATTGTAAATGTCTCTTTGTCCATTGTTTAGACCACTGTGTAAATCATTGTGCAAGATTTTGTTGCTGTCAATATCGTAATTCAACTCCTCGACAATCAACTTATTCTGCGTATTTTCAAATTCAACGCGATTTGAAATTGGCAGTCCATGAAAATCAGCCATTGTTTTCCCTCCTTTTTTAATGAAGTCTTCAATCTCAGTCAATGCATGATTGTGTAACTATTCCATACTGTATCTCATTGTTCTCATTCCTGTTTTTTTCCTGAGATTATATGCGATGTCTTCAAATAGTCGATCTACATTTTCTTGCTACAATTCTGTTGCGTTTATGACTTTATTAAATAAAAGAACCGTTACAAATAGTTGTCATAACTGCTCTCCAGCAGCCCATATTGATGCTTCAGCCAGGCAATCATTCCATTCTTTGTCATCATCCAGCAAGCCTAATGCATAACATGCATCTTTAAGTGCAGGATATATCCTTTCATTAACAGTCCTAATAATTTCAAATGATGTTGCTCCTTTAACCAAATTTAGCAGCATCCGCAAATCATATTTTTCACCGCTGCCTGGAAATGCAAAGTAAAATCTGCCAATGCATCTTGCACCTTCCTGTTGACTCCATCTCCTTTATTTGTCATTCCAAACCCATTGTGTTAGGAAGTCAAAATAAGTCAATGATCTCGCCTCTTCATATTGTTGATTACATTTCATCCATTCTGCTAATTTTGTCTAAGTGACAACATTGCTCTCCAAATATTTGACTAAATTCTGATTTGGATCAAGGAAAACTGTTTGTTCATTCTCCAAGTGAAAAGGAAGCCTTTCAATAGCTAGTTCTCTATAGTATTTATCAAATTGATTTATCGTCCAACAAGCTTCCATGGTGGAAATATATATGTACATGCAATAATTACATTTTTCAACATTATATTTACAACCAATAACAACAAATATATTATATTTTATTCTTCTATATACATACTTGCAATCAACATAAGCTTTAATTTCATCTTCCTCTGTAATATTCGTGCATTCAGAATTCCCTTCGTTAGTTTTTGCAACCTCCATAGAAACTCTGATTTTGTCGGGTCCTTTGTTGACATACTTGAATAGATACTTGATTGATCTATTCTGGTTACAGTTCTCAATGATTGTGTGACCTCGTACTTAACCGTCAAATTTCTATTATAGGGAACAACAAAATGGTTGTCAATTTTGACAGTTTTTTTCTCATTAAATGCTCCAGTATCTTGCCTTTTATATACTACGTACCCTTCATCATCTACAGTTGTTGCATTCACAAATTTCTTTGGAAAATGTTTTTTGCATTTCCCGTTCTCCATGCAGGGTGAACTTGTATCTAAATTTCCACATGGACCATGGATGTTGTAGTTCCAAACAGTTGCATAAGCAAGAGGATTATTTTCTTTATCTGGTAATTCAGTAGATATCATCCTATCAATCTTCAATGGCAAAGGATTCTTATATTCACTGCAGAGGAAAATCAATACATGTGCATGTAGGAGACCTCTTTTTTGGAATTCAATAGTATAAATAACTGGGAAATAAAATACAATATTGTCAATAATTGTTGATATATTGTAAATTTCATATTATAAATCATAAATGAACAAATAGTTTAAAAGAAAATATACATGTTATTTATAAAAGTACTTACTTGCCGAAGTTTCACCAAAATATTTATCATTCTTTATCTCTTTCACCAGTTCAAGCAATTTCATATCGAACACTCTACAAACAGTAGTTACTCTTCCTTCTTCATCACATTGACCAATAGCATTCTGTATATATTGTATCTCTAGCCCTTTGGATTACATGTGAATGTCAAAAAAATATTAGGATATCCGTGATATCTACAAATTGTCATACACCTTGATAATTTATATGATATCGTGGCCTGCCAGTGTGAGACGACGATAGCAGTGTACACTTGCCTATATTCTTTGCATTAACATCACCTTTTGAAATAGCATCCATCGATCCGCTATACAAATCACTTCTTAATTATTATTTTTCTTATCCAATGAGATCTTTCCTTTTCAATAACCATATATGCATCTACAATGTATTGTTGCAATAGTCTGTTAGATGTCATCAAAGTGTTTTCTTCATTCAATCTGTACTGCAATCGAAAGGCATAAAATTGTCTCATAGTTAGTTTATGCCTTGTAGAAGATTCTTTGTTGCCTAATTCTCTATGCTTAATGCCAACCCTGTATCCATCCTCTCCATATGGAAACAAAATTGGATAACTTGATGCCATAAAACTGGGATGTAAGTCAGTAATTCTCTATAAACCATTCTTTGAATGATAAACAATAACATCATTTTCCAACATTTGACAATCCACATCACCAACAATTATTCCTGCAATTTCAAATTCAGTTGACAGATTATACTGTCTTCCATCTTTTTCTCTATGGATTTTTAAATGCAATTGGAGTTCAGAAATATTATTTGATTCAATATAGTCCCTGGCGAACCGAAAACTTTTAACCAACTCATTGTTCCTATCAAGCATCAGTTTCAATTCTTCAATCAATTCCTTGTCAGCACTATTGTAAGTTGTTTGCCTTCTCATACAATTCAAGTTGTGACTAATTTCACATTGTGTATCAGAGATGTAAAGCTATGCAAAAGTAGGTTTCTTTCCAATAGGTGGAAGTAATGTCCCTAAACAGTGATAATTTTGCCCACAAAGTCTGAAAACATATGGACCACTACTTCTATTGATATTAGTATCAATGTCCCCTCCCATTGATGTAGATAAGAATATCAAGTTGTATATTCTTATCTTGTTTTTGAATATTTTTCCTTTAGAACCACCGTTTACGTCCAATAATTCTTTCAATAGTTCATGTGGTTCTTTCAAGAGTGGTAACTCAATTTTACCATCCATACAGCATCACGAAAATACAGGAGAAGTTATCTTTTTTCTCTTAATTGTACGCTCTTCATACCACATGGTTGCCCCGCAATGCTTGCAATTGTAAGATGGTACACCGAAGTTTAATGCATCCAAATCCACTGACAATAGAAATAACATTAATTTTAAACAAAAGTAAAAAATAATGATATTGTTACACAAATGAACAAACTGTAATAATTTGTTATGTAAATATATGTTTGAAGTTTATAACTTACGGTTACATATTTTTGAAGGAGTAAGCTTTAATTTAGATTTTTTTCTTACATAATAATCAACACCTGCAAAATTTTATATATAGTCAGTCAGATTTCTCAAGAAAATGAAATCAACATAATTATATAACAACATAATTTTCCTAAACTCTCTTTCTCTTTAATACATACATTATGTATCTTCTATTTTCTTTGTCTATGTGATCATTATTTTCAAAAGGGCCTAAGAAAATTTGCGAACCTACATTTGTTTCCAACATAGATTCTGCTTCATTATTCGATACGTCTACAATTGTTTCCAACACAGATTATGTTTCATTATTCGATACGTCATTTGTTTCCAACACAGATTCTGTTTCATCATTCGATATGTCTACATTTGTTTCCAACAGAGATTTTGTTTCATCATTTAATACGTCTACATTTGTTTCCAACACAGATTCTGTTTCATTATTCGATGCGTTTCCTGAAATTAAAAATAATAATAGTATAATTGTCATACTATTACAGAAGGGATAGGAAAACAATAATTGATTTATGTAATGATTTATTAATTACCTCTTTTTCTCTTCGTTCTAGACATTTTGTGATTCGTACTATCCCCAGTTTCAGTTGTAGCAGCTTTTGTAGCTCTTTGTTGTTTCAATACAATCATTCTCAATTTCCTATTTTCCTTGCACACTCTTCTTCTCAATTCAACAGCAATTATATTTCCAGAATCAAATTTCAATTTATAACTTTCTATCGTTTCGAAATATAACTGTACGCTTGCTGAAATTCCACCAGCAGTTTCCATACTATGCTTTCCACATCAGCAAACAAAATTAGACTCGAACAATTTAATGTTCACTGTTTTTATTTTTTTTAATAACACAATTATACACCCATGCTGATAATAATTTAATACAATGAAGAAAGCGAACAAACATCATATCTTTTAGAATTGCAAAAAAAATTGGTTCGGTAACAGTTTATGACATTTTTATATTTATGTATTATGGTTCGGCATACTTATAAAAATAAATCTATAAATGATTATTATATAGTTATATTATAAATTATCGTTCCGCAAATAATACAGATATAATATTATACATCAGTTATATTTAAATCATAGGTTGGTATTACCTTAACACGATTCTAATGATCTAATACATTGTTCGGTATCCAGCATATCAAAAAAATAATAATACACCAAATAAATGGATGGAAATTGAAAATGTTAATTAACAAATCTATTACAATCAAAACAAAAATTATAGTTCAGTAAATGGTTTACTACAATTCTATAGAAGAATTGTAGTCGAGTTTGTTTAATATTTTCATATATTGGTGAACATATTACAATCCTATAATCTAAACAACATAATTCTATGACCAGTATAGAAAATTGCATAATACAATGATATACCAAAAAAAAAAAAAAAAAAAAAGCTTCAATACTTGTAAAAAGAAAAATATTGTAATAATAAATTTCAAATTATCTTCGTATACCTGCATCAAATAAAAACGAAAGATATTTACAACACATGGACATGAATGAAAAGCATATAACAATCATCTATAAATTGTTTTATATATTGCAAATTTAAAAAGTAATACATACAGCATTTAAGTATTAAATTGTTAAAAGAATCAAGACCATTACATTATCTTTACCAGCAGATATATTGTAGCTATGAAGAACAATTTTTATCTTGTTCTACAAATATAATAAGACCAAACGATCAGGAAAAGAAAAAAACAAGTATTTATTAATCCAATATTGATTACATAATTATATTTATATGTATACGAAGTATATTAATTACAATAATTCAATGAATGAATCACTAAACATTTAATTTTTGCAATAGTACAACGAATCAATCACTTCATATTAACATAAACACTTTAAATGCTTTCTATTAACTTCACATAACAATAAAAACGAACAATTTTTGCAATAGTACAACGTATCAACCACTTCATATTCAAATAAATACCTTGAATGTTTT